TACTAAACATAATAGTTAGTAAGCAAAAAAAAAAAGAAAAAGATCACTTACGAATATTCAAACGTTGAATAAACATATCTGTCTGTTACTTGAATTTTAAAAATAATACAAGTTTACATATTCAATATCATACAAAGAAAATTTGTGTCCACGATAGTATGCTGGACAATCGTCTCATTTTTTTTTCTTTTTTGTAGTTATATTGTTCTTTTCGTTCAACCCTCTAAAATTTGATTTGATCGATAGATATCGAAAAATGTGTGCTGTGAATAATGTATACATGAGTATATCTTTCTTTTATAAACACTAAAATTATCTGGTTGTCATGTATTGATCAGTATCTTCGTAATCGTATGTTTCATACATATGAGCGCGAACTGTCCCTTCGTATAATGTAAATCATCATGTCCGCAATAAATTTTTGTTTCTTTTTTATTTTTAAAATAAGAAATAATTAGAAGACGATTAAACGAACGAACTATTCATAAGTCGAATGACTTGATAAATCATTCGTCTACTTATAATTAGTTCGTGGATTGTTTTTTTACAAGTATAAAATGAATTGAATCTTAAATTTACATATGATTTACTCAATAAAACTTGTTAAGAATCATCAAGATGGAAAAAAAAAACATTAATTGTTGATCGATTTCGACACTTTTCCTGCTCGATAAAATAAAAAGACGAGATGGGCGAATCATTTTTTTTTTTTTTGATTTATTGTAAATCATTGAGTATGATAATGTTTGGTAAGATTAAAAGCTAGATATGAACACGGTTTACTTGTACAAAAATAAACCAATTCTTTTGCTCATGGCTAGAGTCCATTAAATTGGTCTCGATTCTGAAAATTTCCTTTCAACTAGATTCGAAACCAACAAAACAGCTCATACTTTAAAAGTAACAGCCAATAATACCTTGAGTTTTATAAGATCATCGTTAAGATTGTTTAATAAATGTGTTCGTAGTAGAATACAAATAATCAATGAAAAGTATCTCGTAATTTCCAAGCGAATCGAAGCTTCATACTAAAAATATTTCGTTGAAATTAAGAGTATAGTTCGTGTATGGATCCAAAAGTTTTGTACTTAATTAGTCCTACTGATGACTATTAAAATCGAATGAGTAAAAAAAAAATGATTTTCATATATATTAGAAATTAAAATAGAGATATGCTTCAATTCTATTGAAGTTGATATCATTATATTTTTGACATTCAAATACTATATCATCAGAGTAATATTGAATCTTAGCTTTTGAATAATCGAACATTAGAACGTGTTGAAACATTCCTTTTTTTTATGAAGTTAAATTCCAGTATAATGAATTGTTTAGAATTATTTTGCCATCGGAATATTAATTTATTAAAAATTCTAATGTTAACAAAAATAATTGATTTATGTAAAATAATAGATAGAATGAACTTCGATGTGAGTTTCGTGATGTTTTAAAGGTGAACGACGCAGCAGCAGTACAAGCGATAGTAATTTCTTCCCCTAAGAGGAATTCGGGGAACCAAAAAGGAACTTTTTGCTTCCCAGGATATTTTACGCCTCCTGTTTATACTAGAATAAGATTACTTAATCCAATATATATATATATGAATATACTCAATACGACTCTCTAGTCCATGTAGGAGGATTGACTCATACTCTCATGATTTTATTTATTGTTATCCTGGTGAATACAATTCTCTGCATAGATATCCGACACGCGATTATTTAAGTAAAGCATCATCTACATTTTGGTTATTTTGCACTCTCTCCTATCACTATAAGCAATCTTGAAAATTTACTGTTGAACCAGGGCTGATAATATGATCGTAAATCAGCTTCTATCTGTCTAACACTGACAATATGATACTTAATGACTTTGATCAAAAGAGTTGAAGTCCAGTTAACCAATATTTAATGGGCGAAACACAATGGCTGATCTTCTTTACTATTTGTTACTAATAAAAGTGAACTTACTATTCGGCATAAAATAGACTTTGCACTGTCCATGCTTTCAATCAATATACATATATTGGTCATTACTCGTAAATCTATGCAAAGTATTAATTTTCAGAGAAAATTTTCTCGAAAACTTTAAAAACTCTTTTTTTTGTACGAGTTCATTTGAAAAAGTAAATTAACTATTCTGCGCTGAGCTTTTCTTTCTATTTGAATCCCTTATTTGATGAAAGTAAACAGACACATGTTAAGTATACAATGGGTATGTTAATCTGTTCTCAACATTTGATAATAATGAATGCTTGAAGTGATAACATTATATTTGGTATTTGATTTTTATTTCAAACAATGCGAGACAGTCAACATATGTGAAAAAGTAAGCGTGATGAATTTATTAATATTCAAATTTGATCAATAGCAATAAAATATAACAACATATCTTTCTAAAAAAGAAAGAATAATTTCGAAATTTTAATTTTTATGAGCAATTAGCATCTATTGTTTTAGCTTAATTTATAAAATTAGCATAAAGATATATTGTATCATCTCCTTTCTGTTAATAATTCATTATTCGTTTTCATTTTCTAATAAATTATTTGATATCTCCTATTTCTATCACACTTCTTTTTTTCTTGTGTCAGATCTTAGCGATAGAATATTTCAGACTCCATTATTTCAATTAATCTACGTGAGAATCGCATCTAATTAAATAAGATTTCCCATGTATGTTAGAAAAATATTTCAATATTTTCATAATAATATGGAATTTATTACCTAGATATTGGTTCAGTGATATGATTATTTCATTTTGTGACCCATCATTGGTTTGTATTCGTGTATTGTTCTGCATCGAGTTTGATTGATACCTCTTTAAGATAGAGACAAATGTCTTATTAAGACATTTTTATCGATAACAACGAATTCGGCGACTAAGCTTTGTTTATTTGTTAATTGTATCCATTATGTTAGAAAAAAGATACTTATTCAAATATTATTCATTCTATTTCGCTTGTTGATATTCGTATTTCTAAAGAGCGAAAATACATTATCTACGACACGTTTCATCTTCATTATTCATATGTCGACAATTATTTCATCATTGATTATGTGTCGTTGTGTCTCATGTTGCATCTTCTGTACAATTAACTTGCATTTAAATAATTCATATAAAAGAATTATACGAATTTTTACATATTGAAATATTTGCTAACATACACAAATGAATACTAATCAAGGAATGTCTATATCATTACGTTATAATAAATGAATCTTGTCCTTTTTTTCATAACATACGTTAATGAAATGCAATTTGATCGATGCAAAAAAATCAATGAACCAATTAATGGTTGGGTATTATCTATCAATTACGATCTATTTTTTGTTAAATAGAATTTCTATCTTGTTAATAAAGCATTGATTTTTTTTTCAAATAGAAAAATATTTTCTTTCTCTGTTGAAAGTATTTACACGTCATCTATGAACTTGGCGGGCCAAAGACAATTATGTTTAGCTGGATTCGTACTTAGCAAAAACAGTTCTTTGTATTAGTTTTTTTTACAGTATAATATATTCTCAGTTGAAGCTTGCAGATCATACAATCATTGGGAAGAGGAGGATGGAGAAAACGGAAGAGAAACTGGAGGATTTCTACCGCCTCTCTTCCCTCTTAAATTTTATTCTTCCATTATGGTGTTCTATTGAGAAATTTTCTTGACAACTGTGTAGCAGATTATAATACTTTAGTAAATTAAATAAACTATGCAAAAGAAACCCGTCTATTTTCTCTTACGAGCGACCGTCTTCAATAGCTAGATCACTTTTGAGTTCGAACTCTGCATCCAAGGCACAGTGGACAGCCAAGCGGACATGACCGAAAGTTCTATTTTCCAAAGTTCAAATATTGAAATGAATACATCTATGGTTAGTCTATCTTACCCTAAAACTAGATTTCCAGAAATCAAGTCAAACCCTGGAAAAGTCCATAGTCAAAAAATTTGTTCATAAATCGTTAATTATACGGAGAAGATTTTTGTTATTAACTTATTAAAATATTTTAAAATGAAAAACTATCTCAAACAAATGACTGACCCATAAGCTTCATTGTATGGAAAAATGATTTCCATCGATCAAGAAATGGAGTAGAAAAAAAGCGATTACTGGGCCAAAAGTAGGTACAAAAGTCGGTCATACCGTATTTTGTGAACCCCCAAAAGATTTTTAATCCGATCGAGCTGAAACTTTCACCAATTATTCTCCTATATATGATTTATTGTTGGCCATAGCGCTGTGTCGTACCAGGAAACAGAAACGGTGCTAGTGGTTTCTTAAAAAACTAGGCTTCTGCCCCGAAATCGTTAGTTTTGCGAATACGGAGGTATTTTTATGCAAAACCAAAGTGATATTCGGAATCATCTCGTCGAGCTGCATCGAATCATATATAACAATAAATGTTTCTTGAAAAAAAAAGTCGGTTCCTGTGTCCAACAATGTTCTTAAAACCAGTCTTTTCGTATTTTGTAAACCTTCAAAAGAATTTTCATCCAACTGATCTCATACTTTCACTAAGTACTCTCCCACGTCTAGTCCATCGCTGATAATAGCGCCATTTCGCACTGATGAACACAGTCGGTGCTATGGGTCTCCCAAAAACTGAGGTTTTTGCCTCTAAATCTCTATTTTTGGAAACAAGGCATCATTTGGGTGCAAAATCAAGGTGATATTCGGAATCAGCTCGTCGAGTTGCATCGACTCATGTTTAACAATAAGCATTTTTTCAGAAAAAAGAATTGGGGTTTTTGCTAGATATAGCTTCGAAAATTGGTTATTCCATACTTTGCTAACCGTATAAAGAGATTAAGTCCAATTGATCTGAAATTTTTACCGATTATTCTTCTATATGTAATATATCGTCAGGCTTAGCACCACCTCGCGCGATTTTGATAAAAAAGAACAAAATATTGCAAAAATTAATTCAGAACAAGAAATATTAAATGATAATAATCGTTCACCATTGTTGAAACGTCATTGTGGAAAAAATTAATAAATAAAATGAATCGGGAACAACAAACGATCGCAATAATACAACAAGGTGCACAAGTACAAACCAGTCACGGAGCGAGGATTTTGGGCTGAAGGGAACTGAAGGGGCTCAGCCCCTTCTTAGGAACCTTTGAGCCTCGCTTCGCGAATAAAATATATGCTTCAAAAATTTTCCTGGGAGGAGGGGGACTAAACACTTCCTAGCCATCCCCTGGCTCCGCTACTAGTACAAACTGATTTAATAATAACAACAACAAGAACCAAATGATGCATTATTTGATTGCCATGTTTCACCAACATTCAAACACCAATATAAAATATTAGTAAATTTTGTACCTCAGCCAAGAACTAAGAAAAACAGAGATCAAGCACAACAGACAGTTAAATTAAATCAACTTGATGCACAAACTCAAACACGAACGGCCTTAATAAGAACAACATTAGCACGTGGTCCATTTGGACACGTAAATAAGTGAAATTTATTCTATCTGTGGTTTGATTTGATTTCTATTTTATCGAAAGTGTCGAGTCTAAGTCTAAATCAATTTGATCGATTAAATATTATAATTTTAGGCATTAGTTTTACCTCCATCATCTGAACATAATTCATGTGACAATACTATAGCTCGATCTCTATTAGTGATAGCACATAATAATACAATCATTCGATTAATTTGGATGGTACCTTTAACATCAATGAAATCTATACGAGAATATGAAGTCTATAGATATCAACAAGGTGTAACAGCCACATCATCCGATTGGAGAAAAGTATGAATAATAATTATTATGAGAAATTTTAATGAATTTTTTGTTTCTATTTTTTAGACTGAAATAGTTAAATCAATTGATTCAGCAATGGGAGTTACTCAAAATGACGTTCAATGTAATTGTTATTACGCATTTACTGTCTGAGGAATATCAATTAATAATGATGTTGGTCCTTTTTTGTGAACTCAAAATTATATTTACAGGAAGCACCTATTGAACACTATTAATTCACGTTAAACACCTAGTGTATCATTTAAAAAAAAACATTTTTCTATTCAAGTAACTCTAAATTATGTGTTAATCTATGCATAATATTATTCTTATTGTCTTGTTACTTTATTTTCTTTTTTTGTTAACTTTATAAATAAAAATATAGTTGTTGTCTAAGAAAATAATGAATATTATACTTTCTTGTACATGTGTATAAAAATTCATTTATTAGTATTAAACAAAAAAAAAGATGTAACAATATGAAATAAATATGTTAAACTTATTGATATTCTTCAAAAGCTTTATTCATAAATTCACCTCTCTTTTGAAATATAATCTTCAACGATTATCATATGAGTAGTGTTGCAGAGATGTTCGTATTATATTTTATACACACAATGTGGTATAGAATTGTCTTATAGATTATTTATTTAAAACAGATAACATTTCTCAGCTAATTAAATTTCATTTTTTCTTGATTGTCAAGATAAATTTAATAAATTTAAATTAAGACTTTCTTTTAATCGACGGAATGATTTGCTTGCGTTACATAACAGATAATAAACATCAATAATAATAACAACAGCAACAACAATAAAGAAGAAAAGGAAATAAATGTGGAAGCAAACATAATGTGCAATCACTGTTGATCTACTAATCGAAAAAAAAAAGGTACACACACACACAGACATGCAAAGACTTCTAGCAGGAAAAGTTCTATTGATAGGCCAGAAAGAGAAAAAAAAAACAAGTAATTTGACGTCTAATAAATATTGATTATTTTTGTAAATGTGGAAATCACCGGATCCGAAATAAGGACGGACAAAATTACGAAGGATCAAGATGATGGTAAGATCGTATCTTGAATATGTGCAAGTAAATCAGCATATAATTTTTCTGTATTCGATTCATTTGTGAATGCTTGTTCAAATTGACGTCGTTGTTCAATATTCGTTAACTAAAATAAGTAAAATAGTTTTTTTTTTTATTACAAATAATATTTTTTAATTTTCTTTTTTTGTCTATTTTATAATACCTGTAAATAATATTCTCGACCAGCAAGAAGAAATAAACGATTGTCTAATTCTTCAAAACGAGCGCTGAAACGTGATAACGTCAATGGAAACCTAAAGAAAGCAAAAGATGTATCGTATTATCGATGAGAAGTCATTGAGATATTTCATATGATAATAGAAAACTTAGCGTACACGTATGGTCTTGAGATATTATCTTTTGAATTCTCTGAGAAAAAAATTAAATTTAGTGAAATTTATTAATTTTATGATGAGACTCAAGAACATTACATAGGTTTTTATGTACTCACAGTGATGGACATGACTATCATGCATTGTTAAGTATAATAAGTGAATTCATAACACTCGAACATGAAAATATTTTCTTTTCATAAATGTCCTCCTACTTTTCTTTTCCAAATAAACTTAAATCATACGTGTAAGTCTTAATAAAATTTTTTAAAAAGAAAACTAAGAAGAACACTTCACCATACGTAAAAAAAAACGGCTCATTCAACAGCTCAAATACGACTAATTTCAAATCAAAAATTTTTTCGTTTTCTTTAAAATTTAATATAAAGAAATAAGAAAAAAAAACCATCAAGAATAATATAATCAATTTAAATATTCATAAAATAACATAATGTTTTAAGCAAAATACTTACAAGGCATCAGCAATTGTATGTGATGGACATGCACTTAACATAAGACAAGTTAATCCCCATATAGCCATACGTATTGGTTTTCTTTGTGCAATACTTGTCATTGATAATAATGTCCATTCATTAACTTTAGCTGAATAATGTGCGTTAATTAAAGCACGAAAAACAGCAAAAACAGTATAGGCAAGTATTTGAGGATATAATTGTTGTGTTGATGCAGCAAATTCTAAAACCATTTTATTCATTAAACGATCCGATAAACCAATATGTGCAAGTAATAATGGTAATGGACGAAGTAAAAGTAATGCTTCATATGGTAATGTTGATGATTGTTTTGTACGTTCATATAATTCTCCAACAAGTTCAATAAGTATATTATCTGATGATGATGTTATTGATGAACCATCAACCATTTCTTGTTCTTCATTTGTATGTTCATTATTTGATTGATTTGTATTTTCATTTGTTCGTTGTAATAATGTATATATACGTGCAAGTATTAAAACAAGATGATCAATATTTAACCATGATGATTGACGTAATATTGTTATTGAACGTTTATATAAACGCCATATATCATTTTTAGGATATTGTCCAAGCATTAAAAGTCTTTCAAGACCAATTGATATAATTTTTTGTGTTAAATTATCATTTATATCTAATATATCATCTTTAAATAATGATAATAAAATATCATAAGAATTTAATAAATTATTTTCAATTAAATAAAATAAATTTGCTAAAATAAAACCAATTAAACGTATATCTAAATTATATCTTAATGAATTATTTTGTATATCATTAGTTAATTCTTGTATTAATATTGGTATAAGAAATTTATTTAAATCATCTTCACGACTTTCAAGTAAAAATAAACATGATGCATATGCATGAGTTTTTGTTATTAATTTAAAATTACGTTCAATTAAACGTATATATAATTCATTATATTCTTTTGTTGTTTGTCCAAGAAGTATACCAGATTTACATAAACCATAACTTATTAATGATATCATTAAATCATCTTCATCAAACCATGTACGAATATAATCATCACATAAATCATATAAACTTGATAATTGTTGAGATGATGTAAATAAATCAGAAAGATATATAAATGAACGTATAAGTTCATATTTTAATTGAAGACATAAATTATTTGAATTTGTTGTTAACCAACGAACATAAAGTTCAATTAAAATTTGTAATGAAGAAGTTAAATCAAGACCATGACGAGAAAATAAACGATCGAATAAACTCTAAAATAATATATATATATATATATATTTTATAAAGGTGACAATTTATATTAGGATCTTTTATAAGAATATTATTGAAATAACTTTCTGATTGATAGGAATTGTTCCTAATGTTTTAGAATTTATTTATAATATATTTAAAATTACGAATATAATTAAAATTCTTGATCAGATTGTTATATGTATGAGATGTATTTTTTTAGTAGCATTTATCTGTTCGTCTTTTATCTGTATCAAATAGGATATTTTGCTTCTATTATATTTCAAAAAAAAACAAAACTAGATAAATGATAGATTTTTCATTTTGATGAAATTAATAATTTTTGTAATGATATTTTCTTGAATTTATCTTTCATTTAAACCTAGACTTTCCCTGTATAATACAGTTTGAATTCGTGAGTATAATTAAGGTAATAAATTCATCCGAACATTTGTAAATATGTTTCAAATTAAAAACTGCTTCGACATGTTTTTTTTTTTCCTTTTACATTTCTATTTAATATTGACAAAGACACAAGTTCAATCTTTTCATCATTTCTCAATAATTAAAACATATATTAAACTTACATTTGGTGGTAATGGTAATGTATTATTACTTTGAATTGATGTTAATATAGTATCATATGAAAGTTGCCCATAGGATAATAAATCACGTGAACCTAATCGTTCAAGATTTATAAATAAATCACTTGAATTTGTTTCTAATGTTGAACGTGTTTGCATATATTGACTACCAATATCAGCTAATAAAAATGGAACAGATTTATTTCGGCATCGATGTTCAAATGTCATATCAGCTGGATTTCCTGTACAATTGATTCGAAGAGCATTTAATAAAAATGTTGTTACACCACGAATCCATACACTATGAAAAGAAGAAGAAAAAAAACAACAAAATAAAATCTCTCTATTATTTTAATATAATAATGAAATATTAATCATTAGAAAGTTTCTATTGGAATCTAAACTAATCTTTATTTAAAATACAATGTATAAAAAATGTAGGAATATCGATCGAGAATTTTTATAAATACAATCAATAATAAACGCTTAATAAAAGAAGTTGATATATGGGCATATTCATTCGTTAGCAACGTCACTTGACAAAATTAAAACAAGTATATCTCGAAATAATGAACTTTTCTAAAGCTAATTTTTATATGTTACATGTATGCTAAGTTACTCTGGATACACTAATATCAGGTATTTTAATTTAAAAAAACTCCGAATTGAGGTAGCATTTGTTGAAAATTAAATAATATAGCCTGACGACAACTCTTGAGATTTGTCTGAACATGCCTAGGTTTATTCAAAAAAAAAGGAAGCTTCTTGAAGTTCGATCTTGATGAAAACTTGACCGACATCAGAATCAAAAATGGTTGGTCCTACTCAAGTCTATATACTATTCATAATAAATGTCGAATAGGTTATTTCGTCTTTTATTAATAGAAGGAATCTGAAAGAAAATTTTTTTTGTCTTTTCATTCTTGATTTAAATAAACTAAAATATTTTTTATTTTATTTACCATTGTGTTGCATTTGTTTCTAAAATTTCTTCTTTTGTTAAATTATTTGTTGTTTGTTCATTTTCATTATTATGTTGATTTGGTGGATTAATTGAACCTAAAAATGAGACCCATATTTCTTGAAATTGTGTTCTTGATAACCAACCAACAAATGATATACGTTCAATATAATCAGCCATTATATCTGAATGTTGTAATAAATCAACAGGAAATGTTGATAAACAATAATCATTTAAACCAAATTGTAATTTATTTATATCTTGATAATGTTGTTCCCAAAATTGTTTTGGTATACGTATAAATGAATTAAATATAGGTAAACGAAATAATAATATAGCTATTCGACGTAAATCATGTCGATAAAAATATGGTATAAATTTAATTTTTTTTGTTAAATAATAAAGACGATCAAGATCATTAAATGATAATAGTAACAATTGTGTAAATGGTCGATTATCTGGTTCAATTAAATTTAAATATGATTGTAATAATTGATTTGTTTGTTGTTTATTTGATATAATTAAACCATGTCGTTGAAAAAGATATTCAAATATTGAAAGTATTGTTTTTGATAATGTACAACATGATATTATTTGATCTGTTGCACTAAGTAATTGATATATAATTGATGTTGGATTATGTATTGTTTTAGTTAAACAACGAAAAAAACTTTCAATTAAATTCCAACTAAGAAAAGATTTTTTTTGAAATATATTTATATAAATTATTTCTGTTATAAATATTATAAAACGTAATAAATCACGTGTATCACCTGATGAAAATTGACATGTTAATTCAATATGATTTTCTATTGTATCAAAATAAATTGATATTGAATCAATTAATGCAATTAAATATGGTTGATTATTTGAACATGATAAAAGACTTTTTATATAAATTGTATCAGGTGTTGATTCATCATCATTTAAATTTATTTCATTTGATATTAAACGTTGTGTTGGTAATGAAAAACATAGATCATTAATTTTTTTTAATTAATGCACTTGTTGATGCACGCCATAATGATGGAATATTAATACCAAGTATAAGACAATGAGGCATTGATAACCATACGAAATCCTTGGAAAAAGAAAAATCAAATAACTAATAGATAAAACATAAACAAAATCAATTATAGAAAAAATTCAACGATTTATATTGTTTCTAATTTTTCTGAAGTTAATTATTAATTCTATTTGTACTCTAATAATACACATGGCAATGAACTTCAGAGTGTTATTCTATACATATTGTCTAAAGTTCTATAGGAATGATTATAAAAATTTTATACGATGGAGAAAACGAGACTCAGAAATGTCTCGAATATGGATGTAACAGTGACAGCGAGGTGCTAGTTTAAACATTCGGTAACTGCAGATTTCTAGCTGCAATGAACATCTCTGGTACAGATGAACGATGAACACATGATAAAATTATGGTAGTCTTGAATTAATTTCGATTTTTTTTCGGTTGGATGGGTCATTTCAAGAAAATAGATGAATTTTCTAAAAAATAAACTGAAGACTTTCGGAGTCAAGAATTTTATCAATTATTTCACTTCCGATCCAGCTTAGATACATCATCGGATTTAATTAGCCTATTGTGTACAATAATCAATATGTAGATGAAGGTGAGAGTATATTTAAACAGCAGTTATGCTTCAGATTAATTTCTTCATTTAATAAATAGTAAACTGTTTATTTTATCTGCATCCAGGTATATTCATCAGTCGGTATTGCGTTTTCAATAATTAACATCATAACACAAGCTAATACTCGAATAATCCTCTATATAAATACTTTTTTTTTCTATTACTAGTATCAAAAGAACGTCGTTTTCTTTGACAAAACGATATCTTCATAGTTCTTTTGCTGTAATGGCACACACAGAAGGACTCGGAATGTGACTAATGAGATTTGAGATATAAAAAAAAACTTAATCTCACACGACTCTAGTATTGTTACATGTGTAAGCCTCATACGTAGTACTATGTACTAATTGGTGCTAGGACAATTCGTCGCATAACATGTACATCCTAAAGTATCCTGAAACAGCATCGAAAGTGAGTACGTGTAGGTTAGAACCTGTTGGGTCCGAGTCCAGAAGTTTTGAACTGAACGGTCTTTAGTGTACATGGATACATAAAAGATTCTCTTCTCACATCGACATCCGTGACGAATAGTTTGGCTACTGTACTAATGTATCTTAGATGTTTTCCGTTAGGATTGACATTACATAAAATTCTGTATTTTTACCTCTTATCTATATCATTAAAACTAGTTCTTCTGTATATATAACTATAGTAGATTAATATATGAGTCAATTTGTACTAGATCAATTTTTCCAAATTGAAACAAGTATTAAAGCTATAGTTTTATACTGGAATATTTTCTAAAAGTCTCATAAGTTTTATCTACTAATATTGAATAAACATAATAAAATCTCATGTTTTAAAAATGCATTGATATCTTAAGTCTTCTGTTTTTTTCTTTTCTTTAATTGATTAAATTTATCTCTATAAATGAAATTTAAAACATACCGGTGACATCATAAATGGTAATAATTTTTTATAAGTTACAATTTTAAGCATTTGAGCATAAATTTTCGGTGTTATATCCATTGGACAATGAACTTTTTTTATCCAATTAAGAATAAAATCTTCATCATTACAATTAAGATTATTAAAATCTTGTTGAATAATATCCATTGATATTGTTGTTGTATAATTCATTTTACTAATTAAACGTTGTATAAGTGCCCAAAGATGTTCATTTGATTTCATATCATTATTATTATTATCATTATTATTTTTTGATGTTGATAATATTTGTAAAATTGCTGGTAAATATTTCGGTAATAATTGTTTATTTAATGTTTGTTCATCAAGTGTTAACATCATTTCAATACGACGACAAACAATTAATTCAGCTAAACGTAATATAGATATATATGGTAATGTAAGAAATTGTTCAATTAATAAAACTAATAAAAGACCACTTTCATCTAAATGTATTCCTTCAAGTGTACGAAGAATTTTTAATGATAATAAAATTTTATTTCGTTTTAATAAATTATCCCAATTTGTATATATTGATTCAACAAATAAATGACTTGCAACAGATGTACGATGTATAAGACCAAATAAATTATGTACATGTGTACATGTATCACTTTGTTCAAATAAAAAATATAATAATTGATGATGTGTTATTATTGATGTTAAATGTTCAACATATAATTCATGACGACATATTAAATCACAATATGATTGTAATTGACCACTTATTGATAAATGTGTTATTAATGATGATGGTGTTAATATTGATAACATTGATGACCACCATGCTTCTTGTGTATAATCAAGCATATTAAGAATATGTGTCCATTGTAATAATAATGGTATATAAAATGATGAAAGTAATTTAAAATATTCACTTAATATAGTTAAATATGAAAATGTATCAAGACGATGAACTGTTTCATCAGTTTCATCATGAATTAATAATTGACGAAAATCATTTACAATTGTTCGAAATTGTTTAGCTAAAAATAAAAATAATATAAATTTTGAAATAGTTTTATAAAATTAACGAATGAATATTTAATGGAAAAATGATAGACTTCATAAATGAGGATATAAATTTTAAAGTGAAATGTTTTTCCTTAGCCGATTAGTCATTGATGAATTGAGATTTGTTTTTATTCAAGGATTTCACACTAATTACGTCAATAACTAATCAGAGAATAGTACAGTCACGAAAGAAATCTTGCAACTAATTCATAACATGTTAAATTTAATGTATCCTGAAAGAGCATCAAAAGTGAGTACATAAAAGATCTTCCTTCGAACCGGCGCATCTGCGACCAATTGTTGGGTCTCTAATTGATTAATCCCTTTTAAATCAGAACTATGTGTATCATGTAGACTCTAATGAACTATGAATATCCAGTAAAAAGTTTGGACATTTCGAGCTTATTGCTGAAAATATTATGCATTTTTTAAGGCTATTTTTGAATCCAATGCCGTACTTTTCTTCAGGAACATCGGGGAAAATGGTTTCCGAATTTCGATTTAAAACTTTGTATAGAGATAGGCTCAAGCGAGAATAGTTTATTGGAAAATTTTCAAGTCTTTTCACCTAAGATCAAGGGAGAACAAGCTGATTTCTTTGATTTTTAGTGATAGAAATCACTGGAAATCAGTTTTTATCTGTTCATCACGAATCAATAGGAACCATCGGAAATCCTTATAGAAATTAAGGAAAATCACAAGAAATCATTAGAAATCAGGGCTTTACTTTTAATCTAATTACTGGAGATTTTCTATGATTTAGAAACGGTTTCCGACAATTTTTAACCACTTCGAGTCATGATTTATATCCTCACGGGGTTATAATGATTTTTACCATAGAAGTCATGCTGCTTCCTCTGACTTAAGACAGTTTGTCATTTACATCGTTGATATACGTCGTCAGATTTTATGTTCTAACTTCAGGATAGAAAGCAAATTAAAAGACCTGAAACTTTCAAAGTAAGCTATTCTCACTAAGATCCCATTTTATGCAAAGTTTCAAATCGAGATTTAATAATTAATTATCCCGATGTTCGTTAGAAGGACTACGATTTGAACTCAAAAATGCTGTAAATTATTATAAATGCTCAATATTATGGTTACTACTTCTATAAATTATCACGTATTATGAAATAGTTGGCAAAAAAAACACTACTGATTGTTTATAATATATTAATATACGATCGAATGCGATCATTTACAGTTTTGTTCATTTTTAATAATACCTTTCATCGTACTATAAACATCCTCTGAAATATTTTTTTCGCTAACTTCCTTGAAACTTATAATAAGACTCATAAAATCTATTGTTTGTTTTTTTTGAATAACTCTCATATTCATGTTTACAACTGTCCTATTATTTCAATTCGTTACCATTTTCCATGATATGCATAAGTAAATAGAGATAATCGGATGCAAGAGTAACTAATGTCATATCAATTTGACCACGTAATTGTCGGGTATTAGTTAAAAGTCGTAATATTATATCATGTAAAATACGAAGAAGAGCTCTAAAAGTAAGAAAATAAAATGATAATTATAATTTTTAAATTATAAATAAATCATCTTGAATACTTACGCACTAAAACTTTCATCACGTGTTTCATTAATTGATGATGAAGCATCATTCCATCGTGTCAATATAGCATCTTCAGTTGAATTTTGTACAAGACATCGAAGAATTATATTTATATTCATTAACCATCGATTTATAGTTTGACGATTGATATCCTAAAAATTTTAAAGTATAGACAAATGTTTTATACAAGAAAAAAAAAACAACGAACATGTCTATTTGCTAATGTTCGAAAAGCAACAATAAATGGATCAATTGGTCGTAATGCAACTGATGATACAACATCAAATAATGTTAATTGTGTTGAATAAATATCCAAAATTGCTTGACCCTATTTTGAACAAAAATGGGAAACATTAAATCGAAGATTATTAAACGAAAAAAAAAAACAACCTTAGATGAACCAATAGTAGCATGTGATTGTAAATGAACAAGAAGTACATCGACAATTTGTCGTGAAAGACGTTTCCATTTATCAATTTCACTTCGAACACTATCAACAATAACTGTTAACAATTGTAAAGCCT